TCAATATCAGTCGTAAGACGCACCACTGTTCTGTCATCAGCTACTAGGCCCGAAAGGCAAAAAGTGGCTTTCCATTAAAATTTTCTTTTTTTAATTTTTATATATTGAACATTAGATGTCTTCTGCTTCATAATGATAATAATAATAATAATAATAATAATAATAATAATAATAATAATAATAATAATAATAATGAAAATGACTAGTGGCGGCTCGTGGTTTATAGAACTGACCGGCGGTCATCCACGTCGACTATTTTCCCCTCCCCCACCCCCTCCCCCACCCCCTTCCTTCACAACACACACACACACACACACACACACACACACACACACACACACACACACACACACACACACACACACGCACGCATACACACATGCTCTCTCTCTCTCTCTCTCTCTCTCTCTCTCTCTCTCTCTCTCCTTGTTTTATACCCCTACTTTTGCCATCCCCACCCCCTCCCCCACTCACACAGACACACCACAGTAAACGATGTAGTATAATGTGAAAGAGCTGAAATATGCGGTAGCGTCAAGAAACAATATTATGAATAATGTAAGATGGAAGTTACTGAGATTAATAGAAACTCGCTTGATCGGCACAGAAAAAGAAACACTACTCGAGTCTATGCTAGAAAACAAACTGAAAGTGAGAAGCAATAAACCGCTGGTCCTGGCCTCCAGTACAGAATTTTACTCGTACTTTCTACACCCTCACACAAAATATTGACGAGCACTGGACCCGTTAAATATATGTAATAAGAACTGTCCTGTATGATGACAAAAAATCAATTGGTACTGTACCAGTGACGCTGTCCCAAGCAGATCAAGTCTACAATCAGATGCTATACAAAGCTGGACAAAGCACACGTTTCCAATCATTATATTATGTACTTCATCCACAGAATTCTACACTTATAGAACGGACACTGTACCACGTGACCTGTGAGGAATTGAAGATCGAAAACAATGGCGTCTTGAGGGCAAGATTTATCGTTTTCGGAAGTAACCCTATAACTTTTAGAGCAAGAGCGGCTTTTAAAAACGAGTGAAAAGTGGAACATTTACTGTCCAGTTTGTAATTTTCAGTTACAGAATTTACTGTGCAACCTGGAGATTGGAATTAAGGTTTTAAATTGTTGTGTTTTTGAGTGCAACAACAGAAAAAGCAGACATATAGAGTTTATATAAGATCTACAGAACTGCGAAAAAATTTGTAACACGGATGGGATTGTTCACAGCACTTCTAGCTTCCCACACACATTTTGCATACGCATATTGCCTACGTCATTTTTTTAGTAGCAAAACTTGTTACAAGAAATTTGTTTTACACTGAACATATTTTTTCACAAGATCTAATTAATGTTTTCAAAACATGCGTTCAATAATTAGCTTTATGTCGCCAGCAGAAGTAGAAAAAAAGGACGGACTTGCTTTTAAAAGAGATTTTGCTCCTGCTGTAAACTTTTCAAAATCTGTAGAAACCATTGACTGGGATTTTAAAAAAATATTGAGCTAGTATTTATTAAAACATTTTCTTTTAAGGAATTTCTAGAATAATATAGAACATATGTGTACAAATGTTTGAAAAAATACTCATCTGTTAAGACGAATTGATATAGATCTAAGTCATAGTGCAAAAATAAGGAGAATCTAGATCTAGATGTTCGATAGTTCAGTAGCCTAGATATTTGATAATAAGTTGCGCAAAAAAAATTTGACCGCACGCTACAGTAGTAGAGATAGCGTATTATTTTCATCCGAAACATTAATTTCCGCATCCATACACATTTTGGGCCTTTATAAGCACATGTAGTTCTACTTTAATTATGTTACTTTCATATAATTGTTTTTGAAAGCATTTTCAATTCCTTTCACTTTCACTTCAGACGCGCGGGCACATATAATTATGATTACAATTTCAGATTCAAGATCGGACGAATGTATTTATTAAATAGCGTATAATGTTGAGTTAGCCAATGCATTGCAATGCGCGCTATTATCAATTATTGAATTGTAACAAGACTTCAATTTGATCCGTTTACTGTGTGCGGGGATTAAAAATTAAAGATTATAGATTCCAGATCTGACGAATGTATTTACTAAATAGCGTAATAGTGCTGGGTTAGCCGATGCCTTGCGATACGCGCTTTTATCAATTAATTGAATTGTAACAGGACTTCGATTTGATCCGTAACAAGACACCACTTATTTTTTCTTATACGTGTTAAAAAATGTGTGTTTGTTTACTGTGTGCGGGCATTAAAGATTCCAGATCTGACAAATGTATTTATTAAATAGCATATGCCTATATGCAGGGGTGGCCAATGCATTGCGATACGCGCTTTTATCAATTAATCGAATTGAAACAGGACTTCAATTTGATCCGTAACAAGAGACCACTTATTTTTTCTTATACGTGTTAAAAAATGCGTGTTTGTTTACTAAGTGCGGGGATTACAGGGGGACAAGATCATCCCCTCGACATGTGATCCAGGGTATGGGGATACATTTTTCTCAAAATGCACACAGCTCTGAAATCCTTGAACAGTGATCACTCGCCATGAAACTCTTTCTGTTGTGACTGTAGACACAAGTTTCTTCATTATCATATCTGAATGAGCCTATCATTCATGCATTAATTAGAAACCACACCCCAAACACACACAAAAAATGACTTTGAACATATATTCAGGAAACATATGCCAGTTCCACTCTTGTTTACTTTGTTTTGCATTATTGGCTTTTATGCGTAAAACAATATTTGGGGCCTTTTCTGCATTTTTGTATTTTTGGCAGCATGTACAATAGGCCTATGTATTTTATGTGCAACCGACACATTCTCCAATCTCTAGTATTTGTTAGACTCGCTCGTGCTTTAAACAAAGCATGTTGTACACTCTATATTTCACTGATACAAACCCAGAGATGAATTCTTAAAGTGAAAAATGATACATTTCCTCGATATAAGCTCAATTTATTGATATCTTTCTAGTAAATTGGAGAAAAGGCTTATTATATTGTTCTTTTTTGCTTACTGTGGATTGCCTTAAGTTTAATGACAATGTAATTGTAGGGAGCATGTTACTGTCAGCGTCCCCTTTATCGTAGATCTAGTACTAATCAAGACTATCTAGATATTTTGCCAACAGAATTAATGTTCATAATTAGTGTTATTATCAAGTGTATTGTGATTGTGAAGATCTTTAGTAGATCTAGATCTAGATTCCATCCCATCATTTAAAAAAAATACAAACCTACAACACAAAAACATTGTAACATTGCCAATTATGACATATTGTTGGCAATAAAAATGTACTAGACTATTTCACTATACACGTATTTCCTCTTCGAAGAAAGTTTTAATATACTGATGTAAGGTGTCTTCCAAGCCCTACCACTAGCATCGGCGTGCATAGCAACGCGAAGCCTCGCTGTGCGGCTCAGCCAAAGCTGCCCTCAACTGGCCGCCATGTTTTAGTTTCAATTCCTCACATCGAATCAGTGATCTCGAAGAGGGAGTTCCGCTTCTATAAGTGTAGAATTCTGTGACTTCATCGCACTTCTCAGTTCTCAGAATTGAACACTGAACACTGTGTTGAAACAAAGTGGGGAAGTGTGTCAAATGCTAATTATAGAACTTGGTATCTAGCTGGGGTGAGGGTTGAACAGGGGAGGGAAGGGAGGGGGTTTTCGGCCCAGACTCTGAAAGCCGAGTGCCTATTGCTCCTCGTTAAAATTCTCCTTATATATCTTCACTAGACGATTCCTTCTTTCGCCGGCCAGACTCCTAAGGGCCAGATAAGTTATTTGTGGGGAGAAAACGATGAGTAAATGCCAAACAGGAACTATAGGTGGTTAAAAAGTCAATAAACGAAACAGATTAGTGCCATGCTGGCAATAAATGTTCTGATAGTAGTTATAGAAAGGCTGAATGATAATAAATACCTGTTTTGCTGATAAAATAATATATGTGTCTGTGCCTCTCAAGACAGTCTCATTCTTAATTTTGTAAACTACAAAGAGGCCAATCTGTCAATAATTTATTAAGGGATGTACTAATCGCTCTGAGGGCTGACGATGGATTTGTCCATGGGACTGACGCCATCGCTAGGCCTAAGCCAAGCCCGCCGTGTGTTTGGCCCCGTACGTAGTACGAAGTTCCGCGACGTGACGGCTTGACGGGAGACGATTTAAAGTTACGAGCCGGCGCGATAACAAACGTGAAGGAATGAGGTTATGTCGCGACAAAACAGCCGTGAATCCCACTTGTCTATTTGAGCGCCTTAAAATCGGCAAGGTGTTTTTGAATGTTGATACATGTTTGTTTGGATTTACTTAAAACTGAATGAAAATCGCCATCAGCAATAAACCTCTAGTCAACAGTTCAGTTGACAAAAATCTGACCGGCACCGCCGGTCTTGCTCAGTTAACAAACCGCCCCTGACAATGACCTATTTAAGCCAAGTTACTGATTACAGTGACAACAACCATGATTATGATAATGGCGCATCTTAATAGTAGTAGTAGTAGTAGTAGTAGTAGTAGTAGTAGTAGTAGTAGTAGTAGTAGTAGTAGTAGTAGTAGTGGTAGTGGTAGGAATAGTAACAGCAACAGCAACAGCAGCAGCAGCAACAGCAGCAGCAGCAGCAGGAGGAGGAGGAAGACGAGGAGGGAGAGGAAAAGAAGAAAAACAAGAGAAGAAGGAGGAGGAAGAGGAGAAGGAGGAGGAGAGAGATGAGGAAAAAGAACAGCAGTGGCAACAACAACAGCAACAACAACAACAACAACAACAAAAACAACAACAACAACAACAACAGCAGCTGCAAAAGCAGTACCAACCACGGTATCAGGAAGACCAAACGAGAGGGGGAAATAATAATACTCTCAAAAACAGATAGGCAGATAGGCAGACAGGCAACTAAGCAAAAACAATCACAAACATTCCTATGCTAACGTGCACATCCATTTAGGAATAAAATGCTAAGCTTTACTGACGTTGTTTTTCGGTATCGGGAGTCCTTTCTTGATAATGTCAAAATACTTCAACACTCCGTTGTTGCCCAAGCAGGTTGAAACCACATTGTTGAACTCATCCGAAGACGAGCAAAATGCGGGGATGCTGGACACGCTACAAGCCAGAGAAGCTAGGACAACTGCAAATACAAAAAGAGTCATATTAATATGTTCCTGCAGGAGGTAAATAGGTAAACCCGCGTTTTGATTTCATTAGCAAAGAAGGCAGCATTTTAGCCGTTCAAAAATAAGACAAAACAAAAGAATATACAAAAAATAGAATAATTAAGAAGCCTTTTTGAGGTATTATGTAGTCAAAATCTTTTTAATTGCGTTTGCTTTCAACGCGTTCCCCATAGTGAGGCGCAAAACATTATTTTTTTTCCTAACTGAGACTCATCATGTACAGCTTGTTTGGCTTCAGTTTTTCGTTCAAAACCCGCCATTTTAATTGTCACAAAACAAATAGTACAGGTTGTTTAGGTACCTTTTTGAAAATAGGGCAGACGCCTGATCATATCGTAAGCTGGTCACTATAGCCATTGTCCAGCACAAAAGCATAGGAGTTTTTGAAAAGTGAATATAATCTTTTCATTCTACTTACTTTTAGCCTTGAGATTATAAATCGTGATTTACCTTCTCAAGCAATTATTTTCTTCAACGTCATACGTTTTTGTGAAAGGGCACTCTTTTCCGGTACGGTGGCTTTTTCTGCGGGTTCATGAGAGGTTGGAAATAAACATACTACTTACTGTACAGTTCTGGAACATGTGAAATTTACAACCACATCAGGCGAGATTCGAAAATGAAGATCACATATCTCAAACTTTTTTGAAAGATTGACGCCAACAGTAAAATGTACTTTAATATCAATTCTAAAAGGTACTGGACGAACTTTGTCTTTTTTAAAACTTTTAAAACTAATTTTACAGGAGACGGATAAACTGATTCTCTCCGTCATTTGGTGTTCGTTTGAAATTCACAATTTCACCAGGAGACGACCTTCGACATACATCAAGAGAAACACGATTTACCTCCAAACAAAACTTGATCAGTTATCTCCGAGAGAATGAAGGTATTATAGTAAACTGGGTAGCAAACTGTTTTTGTGGCTCCGGTAGCAAACTGTGTCTTCGTGTGCGCTCTGGGTGTAATGGGCTTTTATGTGTTAGACATTGGACTCTAGCTCTGCCTCCCAGTATTGTATTTGCAGCTCTTTGTGTCTGAACTGAGTCATCCGTAAATGTGTAATATCCTTGGTCGCGCACTATGCCCTATTTCCGGAAGCAAATAGCGGACCCGTAATCGTGGCGTCGCCTGCTCTCCGCCTTATGTGCCTGACAGTGTAGGGAGAGAGTAAGTCAGACCCGCGGTTGAAGCCACATGCACGATAAGGAAACCTTGTAAAGGATGTCGTGAAACGATTGGTTGGCCTTTTTCTTTATTTTCTCTTTGGCAATTAATTTTCCATCCCTGTAACATTGAAGCAATATTCAATTTCCTTCACAGAGTTTAAAAAATACTCATTTTTTCCCCCTGGAATTCGTAGAAGTAGTGCTCTATATGCCATCCTTTGGACTCGACATATTTTTAACGTGTCGTTCGAAACGTTTTCTGGCCCCCAAACACAAGAACCTGCTAAATCATGAGTTTTAAAGTTCTACATACACTGTACATATTCCGTATAAAGTGACTTCTAGAGACTTTAGGGTGAGGGGGTGGTAGTAGGCTTCACTGGCAAGCTGATTAGGTGCCATACGTGTGAGATGTCCAAACCACCTGATTGTTTTCCTTCGGATGTAGTGGAGGACACGTGTTGTTCCCACCATTTCTCTAATCCTGTGGTTTCTGACCATGTCCCATCTGGTTTTGTTGACGGCTCTCCTTAGACATCTCATCTTGCAGGTGGTTATTCTACGTTCCAAACGTTTGGTCATTGTCGATGCCTGGCACTGGTAGGTCAAGGTGGGGATGAAGATAGAGTTAATGAGCTTGTTGTTAGCCTTTTGTACTCTCGCCTATATTTCTCTGTTGAGACGCCCGTCTTCAGAAAAGATGCTACCAAGATACTTGAACTCGCTGACTTGTTTCAGCGGATTTCCGTCGATGGTGATGTTAAGGTCGCCAGGTGTTCTGCTGACTTTCATCGTCACTGTTTTGCTTTTACAGATCTTCATTTTGAGCTTTTCACATTGTATATTCAGCCTGTCTGTGTACTCTTGAAGTTGCTCTTCTTTCTCATGTGCCAGGCTTTGATCGTCCGCAAACATCCTCTCATTCAGGTCTATCGGATTAAGGTTTGCTTCTTTTGTAATTTTGTCCGTGTATAATATAAACAGAAGCGGTGATAACACACACCCTTGTCTCACTCCAGATGACACGTCGAACCAGTCAGTGAGTCCGTTTTGGGTGCGGACTGTGCTCATACTGTTGTTGATGTCTCTGATGATGTCCAACAGTTGTCCCCTAATGCTGTACTCTTCAAGTGTTTGCCACAGTTTATCTACTCTATCAAACGATTTTTTCTGGTCTACAAACACAAGATTCATTTTTTGTTATATGCAATTGTTCTTTCACTCAGTTGTCTTAGAGCGAAGATAACGTCTGTGCACCCTTTCCCTTTTCTGAAGCCCATCTGCGCCTCACTCAGTAATGGCTCCCCCTTGTGCCTTGTACGCTGTTCCAAGATCTGTGGGTACATTTCCTGTGTGGCTCAGAAGGGATATTCCTCTGTAGAAGTTGCTGTCTTTCTTGCTGTCTTTCTTCTTCCAGATTGGTATCACAACTGCACACTGCCAGTCTTCTGGAACGTTCCTCTCCCTCCATGCTTTTGGAATATTGTGGTAAGCCAGGTGATTGCTGTTTCTCCACATGCCAGGATGGCTTCAGTTGTAATGCCATCAATGCCGGCTGCTTTGTTCCTTGGGCTATTCTTCAGTGCCTGCTGTACCTCTGATCTTAAGATGTTTGGTTCTTCTTCTTCTTCTGTGTATCGTGGTTGAAATTGGCTCTGTGTGTTTCCTTGGCCGCTTGGGTTAAGGAGTTCCCTGAAATACTCCTGCCATCTGTTCTTGATGCTGTCTTCTTCACTGAGTATGTTTCCATCTTTGTAATTGACTACTGTTGTTACATTACTATCATTATTACAATTATCAATATTATTATTTAGTAGTAGTAGTAGTAGTAGTAGTAGTAGTAGTAGTAGTAGTAGTAGTAGTAATACCATTAACAACTAAATATATATCGTAAAATTACTCTTGACGGTTGCAAACATACTTATCACGCTCTCAATTAAGTAAAAAATAAATCTGGAGGTCACTAAACATAATTCAGTAATTGGTACAGGCACCATTTGGAAGCATTCTTCGCTTTTCAAGAAATGTTCAGTACCATATTGTAAATGAAGAATGAAGACGTGGGTTCTTAAAACAGAGAGACCAGTCAATGAGCAATATGACAACACCTACACGACGCACAAACATTTCATTGACAGAAACAACAGCAGCAATTTGCTACCTCATAATTACAAAGTTCCTTCTGACATTTTGGACAGTTTTGAGTTACTATAAGACCATGAGGTCAGGAACCAAACGATCTAACTGCTCTATCAAAATCGTAAGATTATTCGGAGTCGTTATCAAGATATACAAAGACTCGCATTCCTAAAAGCTTGACATGATGTGATGCTCGAAACCTTTGAGGTCAAATTTCTCAAAACTAGGTACTGAGCAAATAGAACGTTGTAATTCTGAGGTAGTGGATAGTTTAAAAGAGAAATAATGAAATTACTAAGTCGGATTCGAGCATCCTGGCATACCCGTTTCTTCTAAGTAAGGTAAATAGATTTCTATGCTTTTATATATTACGTAAACTATGACAGGAAGCTAGAAATGGGATGATCGTTTGAGACAAAGGAATAAGAACAGATAGACAAATCGTTGCTTCAAATGGAGTCAGTGAACACATTATGTGCACACATCTCGGGGAATTTTAGCGGAATGAGAATATCGACAGCAGATAAACTGTCCTCAACAAGCAGCAATCAAGAAATACACGATTTACCTCCAAACAAGACTCGATTCATCGTCTCCGAGAGAGTGAAAACGTAGGCCTTGGCACCAACACTCTGGTTTCGGGAGCAGAAAGATTCGTCCTTGATTGTACTGGCTTGCATGAGTGAGACACTAGGCATGCCCTCCTTTTATATAACTTGTCGTCACTCCTACTCAACCCTGCAAGTCTGAAATTAGTCATCCATAGTACGGATGGCTGTCGTCTGTCGCGTACCCTGACCTATATCCGGGATCACTACTATCGGACGTGTCATTAGCCCAGATCCAAATTAAATTTTTTATTATTATTATAAATATTATTATTATGATTATAATAAAAATTATGTTATCATTATCATTATTTGTTATTATTCGTTCTTGATTGTACTGGCTT